GACTCGGTGGGAGCGGGTGGGGGGACGGGTGGCGCCAGAGGGGTTTGCCTTGCCTTGCCAGAGGGCGGTGTTGCGTGCCGGGCGCCAGGCCGCTGGGCACGCTGCTGAGAGCAGCCCGCCCGGTCGGCAGCTGCCGCAGACGCCGCTTTAGCCCGCCGGCCCTGCCCCCCCGCCGCCGACCCGCAGCGCGCCTTTGGCGGCCAGAGCCTCGACTTTGGGCGTGGCGGGCAGGCGTACCGCTGCTGCGCGGCCGCCGACCGCACGGGGCACGCCATGCTGCACACGCTGTGAGTGCTGCGCTGTGGATGCTGTAGGTGGATCTGTGAGGGCTGGGAGTGCTGCATGTGGCGCTTGGGGAGCAGCGGTGGGAGGAGGTGTGCCTGCCTGCTCACAGCTTGCTCCCGCGCCCCTCGCCTGCCCCGCCCCTCCCTGCAGCTATGGAGCGGCCATGAAGCACAACTGTAATTTTTTCGTGGAGTACCTGGCTTTGGACCTCATCATGGACCAGGTGAGCTGCTCATTTGTTGTCGCAGGGGCGCTGCCACGCCCCTCACAAGCCCCTGAGAGGGGCGCTGCCACGCCCATCACAAGCTCCTTACCTCACAAGCTCCTTACCTCGTCCGCCGCCCCCGCAGGACGGCTCCTGCCGCGGCGTGATTGCGCTGTGCATGGAGGACGGCACGCTGCACCGCTTCCGCGCACACAACACCATCCTGGCCACGGGCGGCTACGGCCGCGCCTACTTCTCCGCCACCTCCGCACACACCTGCACCGGCGACGGCAACGCCATGGCGGCGCGCGCGGGCCTGCCGCTGCAGGACCTGGAGTTTGTGCAGTTCCACCCCACAGGTGGGCGGGGGGTGGGGGGGCGGGGGTGGGTTAGCAGCCCAGCCAGCCAGGCAGGCAGCCCCCCGGTCATGGAGCGGCCAGGGCACGGGGGGGCAGCGTCCCGCTTGCCTCGGCGCTGGCCTCTGGGAGGAAAGCAGACGCGCGGCCCACCCAGCCCCTTGGTCCCGCCTTTGCCCCCGGCTGCACCCGCTGCCACCTGGCGCCTGCCACCCCTGCCCCCACCCGCCCGCAGGCATCTACGGCGCCGGGTGCCTGATCACCGAGGGCAGCCGCGGCGAGGGCGGCATCCTGCGCAACAGCGAGGGCGAGCGGTTCATGGAGCGGTACGCGCCCACCGCCAAGGACCTGGCCTCACGAGACGTCGTGTCCCGCTCCATGACCATGGAGATCCGCGAGGTTCGTTTGTGGTGGTGGGGTGGGGGTGGGGGTGTATGGCGGTGGCGGTGGTGGTGGTGGTGGTGGTGGCGGTGCTGGAAGCAGGGCGTGTGCGTGTAGGATGGAAAATTCTAAAGATGTCGGGAGGCGTGCAGCAGGGGAAGCGTGACGGGAGCCTGGACCTGCTTGTCTTCTGCCTTGGCCCTGCCGCCTGCTGCCGCCGCCGCCGCCGGTGAGCCGCCCTGCTGCCCCCGCAGCAACCAGCAACCCGTGTGCGTGTGTGCAGGGGCGCGGCGTGGGCCCCGAGAAGGACCACATCTACCTCCACCTCAACCACCTGCCCCCCGAGCTGCTGGCGGAGCGGCTGCCGGGCATCTCCGAGACGGCGGCCATCTTTGCGGGGGTGGACGTCACCAAGGAGCCCATCCCCGTCATCCCCACGGTGCACTACAACATGGGCGGCGTGCCCACCAACTACCACGGTGCGTGGGTGCGGCTGGCCAGTGGTGGGTTGGGTGGGTGGGTGGATGGGTTCGGGCACGGCGGGGCGGGGCATCCGGAAGCGGGGAAGGAGAGGGGGCAGGGCCGGGGCATCCCCGGCGGCAATGATGCAGGTTTTATGGGGAGGCAGGGTTTCCAGGGTTGAAGGAAACTGGAGCTGGGTTGGCCCCGCGCTGCCACCTCCTCCCCTCGCTGCTGCCCTTCCTGCCCCCGCCTCCTCCCTCACTGCTTCCTGTGCCGCCCTCCACCGCCGCCCCCCGCGCAGGCGAGGTGGTGGTTCCCAAGGACGGCAACCCCGACGCGGTGGTGCCTGGGCTGATGGCGGCGGGCGAGGCCGCCTCCGCCTCTGTGCACGGCGCCAACCGGCTGGGCGCCAACTCGCTGCTGGACATTGTGGTGTTTGGGCGGGCCTGCGCGCTGCGGGTGGGCGAGATCCTGAAGCCCGGCACGCCGCACAAGCCGCTGCCCGCCGACGCCGGCCAGGAGACGATCGCGCGCCTGGACAAGCTCAGGTGCAGGCGGGGGGGCGCGGCTGGCACTGCTGGTGTCGCCTGTGGTGGCTGGTCGGCACGCTTGGCTGCCGCAGCAGCCAGCACAGCTGCGGTAGCCCCGCCTCACCTCCGGCCCCGGCCCGCCGTCCCCGCTCCCCGCCTGCAGGCACGCCAACGGCAGCATGACCACCGCCACCATCCGGCGCAACATGCAGAAGATCATGCAGAACAACGCCGCCGTGTTCCGCACGCAGGAGACGCTGGCAGAGGGGTGCGACCTGATCGACGAGTGCGCCGCCACATACCAGGTGGGTGTTGGGGAGGGGGCTCCGCACTGGGGGCGGGCTGGCGGCGACCCAGCGACCTGGCGGGAGGACTGGGAAGGGGTGGAAAGGAAAGCTGTTGCTGTTGTTGTTCCGGGCCCCTGGGCCAGCTCTCTCCAGCCGCCCAAGCACGCTTGCTGCCCCCGTCGGTCCTCCACTGCACACCACCACTGCCGCCCGCCCACCTCTGTCCCTCCCCTGCCTCCCGTGGCGTCGCCCCCCTCCTTGCCTCCCCTGGCAGGACATCAAGCTGGCTGACCGCGGCCTGGTGTGGAACACCGACCTGGTGGAGGCGCTGGAGCTGGAGAACCTGCTGATGAACGCGGCGGTGACGATGCACAGCGCGGAGCAGCGCAAGGAGAGCCGCGGGGCGCACGCGCGCGAGGACTTCACCGCCCGCGACGACAAGGACTGGATGAAGCACACGCTGGGCTGGTTTGACTGGAGCGCGCCGGGGGCCAACAAGGTGCGGCGCGCGTGGGGTGGCGGCTGGCAGGGCCTGGGCTGTGGGCAGCGCGGTGGTGGAGTGCAGCGGCAGGGCGGCGCGCCGCGCTACTAACCTCCCTCGGCAACACTTTGCGGCCTGCGCTCCGTGCACGCACCACAAACGCTCACGATGACTCCCCCTGCCCCTCTTTGCCCTGCCGCTGCTGCCGCAGGTCAAGATTGACTACCGCCCCGTGCACATGCAGCCCCTGACCAAGGATATGGATCACATCCCACCCAAGGCACGCGTGTACTGAGCGGGCCGAGCCGGCGAGCAGGCCGGGGCGTCCTACGGCAGCCAGCTGCGCGGCGCACGTCCCACAGCCGCAGCACGCGGCCAGACGGGTGCACAGCACACTCCGCGCTGCTCGCCGCTCGCCTGCGCCAGCCTGGCGGCGCGCAGCTGCCAGGCTGGCATGTTGACGCACTCCTCCATGCCTGCTGCTCGTGTCGTGGGCACGTGCATAGTCCTACCAAACGGCATTCAGCCCAACGCTGCCACCTGGCTGCCACAGGCGGGCTGAGCCTGCCTGCAGCTGCAAGGCTGCCACTCGTGGCTGGAACCGTTGTTTTGGCCTCGTGTTTCTCGCTTTTGCTGCAGGCGGCATGCCCAAACGAATCCCCGCCCGTGGGCTCTGCTTGCGCTTCCTTTCCTGTACAACTTGACCGCAAGGCGCCCTGGGGGGCCATGCACATACGCCACATGTGTAACAACCCTCCAAGCAAACCCCTCGCACCCAGTGGAAACAGGCTGGCAGCTGTGTGAGAGGCGAGCGCCTGGCCTGGTAGCCTGCTCTGGCAATTGCCCCATGCTGCTTTCCGGGAGTGTTCGGCTTCACATCATTCCAGGTCTATGCAACGGGTTGGACTCTAGTTGCTGCGTGCTGCGGTGGCTCTAAAAAATGGGTGATGTTCAACAATCCTGCAGCCCAGCCTGTGCCCTCCAGCTGCCGGCAGGGCGGCCGTCACCGCGCGGCGACTTCGCGCAGGCAGGCACCTCAGGCTGTGGCGGGCTGCGGGGTCAGCAGCGCCTTGGCCTTGGCCTCCAGGAAGGAGGCAGCCAGCTCCACCTGCTCCTCCTCTGCAGCCGGGGGCCCAGGCGATCAGTCCTGGATGTGCCGTGGGCAGGCTTGGCATTGCAGGGCTGCCCTGGGGTGCCCGCTGCCCTCCCCAGGCCCACCCACCAGACATCTGCGCCAGCATCTTGGGCACCAGCTCGTTCTCCTCCTCCCCCAGGTGCTTGATGAACAAATCCATCACCTGCAGGGCAGGGGCAGGGGGGAGGGGTGCATGGTGGGCAGCAGCAGGCGTGGCAGGCCTGGCACGAGGCAGCGGCAGCAGCGCCAGCCGTCCAGGGCTTGCACATCGGCAGCCAGCTGGGTCCCAGCCTTACGCAGCGCCTCTCACCTCCTTGATGGTGCCGGCCAGCTCCTTGCCGCCCTCCTGCAGGCGCGCCGGCACAGCAGTCGGCAGTGCGTGAGCAGGCGTGCAAGGCATGCGGCGCACTGACGGGCAACGGAGGGCTGGGCCCAGCCAACCAGGCCACGTACGCGACGTGACGGCCAGGCCACGTATGCGACGCGAGCCATGCGCCCACCCCCTTCCCTGCACCATCCGCCTGCCCCACCCCACCACCACCTCCTGTCGCTGGCTCCCCCCAAAGCGCCGCGCCCCCACCTTGCGCATCTCCAGCGCCCTGACCAGGTCCCCCTCAATCTTGGAGTGCTCCTCCACGCTGTGCTCCCGCGCCTCCTTGCCCTTGGCCCCCAGCCGCCTCTCCATCACCGGGTACAGCACCTCAAACTCCGCCTGCAGGGTGGCACGCTCCAAGGACGCACAGGTGGGTGCTAGTGTGGTGGTGGGTGGCAGGATGGAGCTGGCAGCGCAGGGCAGGGGCAGCTTCTGGCCAGCTGACGCAGGCTTGGTGCGCACGATGCTGCTGAGGGTGGCTGCGCGGCTGCCCTGGGGCGCGCCTGGGAGTGCAGGCGGATGGTGATGGCGATGGCATCGGTCAGCTTCTCCAGCATCAGCTTGTCGCCCGACCCAGACACCTTCGGCAGGCAATGGCGCCGCCGGGCAGGGCCAGGGGTGAGGGGCTCCCGAGCGCGCTGCCCACCGTCCCCGGCCAGTCTGTGCACAGGCAACCAATGCGCCCAAGCGGGGCCAGCACAGCCCCCCTCCCCACCTCGTCAAAGTGCTTCAGCAGGGCCACGGTGTCGCGGTGGTCGCCCAGCAGGATGTCCACGATGGTGGGCTGCGGGGGGTGGGCGGCAGGGCGGCAGCAGGCAGGGCAGCACGGCCCCAAGTCAGCTGCGAGCGAGAGAGGAGGAGGCGCAAAGAGAGCAGCACAATTTCAAAGAAAATCGGCAACGCCTCCCACAACGGCTGAGCAAAAAGAGCGTGGCCAGACCCGGGAGGCGGGGCGCACCTGGGGCAGGGCGTTGGTGGCAGCCACCTTGGCGGTCTGCTTGGCGGCGCTGGCGGGGGCGGCGCCCTCGTCCTTGGCGCGGGTGCGCGTCGCAGGGCCCTCGCCCGCGGCTGGCCCCCCCTCCACATCCCCAGCCTCCTCCTCCTCCTCGCCCACGTCAACCTCGGCCTCCTCCTCCTCCTCGGCGGCGGCCACGGCGGCCGGCAGCTCCTCCTCCTCGGTCTTGGCCTTCTTGGGGCTCTTCTGCTTGGGCGAGCCTGCGGCTGGCTTCTTGTTGCTGGCAGGGGACTTGGGAGCCATGCTGCTGGCAGGGACTGGGAGGGAGGGAGGTCCCTGTGGCACCAGGGGTTTGCCTTGGACGGCTGTGGGGAGGATCTGGGGAGCAGGAGAGGCGTATGGAGGGCCAGCAAGCGCGGGTTGAGGCCTTTCTTGAGGGGAACCTTGGGTGTAGGTTGCGTCTTAGGCTCTCCTTTCAGCCAGCCCTCTGTGCCTGCCTCCCCATTAGCACCACACCAGCAGCACGACTAGTCAACTGAAAGGTGGACGGCTGGGCCTGTTGCTACTGGATATTGGGTTGTACCTGGGTGGCCTTGTTTCCACGGCTGAAGTGCTGGTAGCAGCCGCAGACACTTCCCTTGTCAAGTACCAGGCTGGCGGGTGCAGCCGGGTGCCGTGCCATAGCGCCGCTTTCCCCGCCTGTTGGTCCCCGCGCGCAGGCAGCCATGGCGGCCACCATCGACTCCAAGACCAAGCAGCAGGCGCCGCCAAACGCCATCTCCTGCGTTATGGTGCGGGCCAGCCAGCAGGATCAGACATCCCATCCTGCGGTGCAGCGCTGCTGCCGTCACGTGTGGCAGCGGGAAACCTACTAGTACCCTGCACACACCGGGCCCCGTCTGCCACTTTGGCTCAACCTCAACCAAAGCCCCTGTGTGCTGCCCCAGGTGGACCACTCCAACAGCCGCATTCTGTTTGGCATTCTTGAGGATGTGATGAAGAAGAAGGAGGATGCCATGGTGGAGAAGGTGGGCGGCTGGTTGGCGCTTGTGCCTTGCCTGGGATGGGCGCCAGCCGGGCAGGCACTTGCGGGGCCTCGCTCAGGAGGAGTTCCGCCAAGCTGGCTGCTCTTGTGAACGGGGCTGGCGTGTGCTTGCGTGCCGCAGGTGGTGCACACCATCGGCCTTCACTGCCGCATGCACAACCAGGCGCGGTTCGAGGTGTTGCTGCCGCTGGTGGAGAAGCTGAGCGAGGGCGGCAAGCTGGCCAAGCTGATGAAGCAGAAGGTGGGCTCCAGCTGGCGAAGGAAGCGCAGCTCATGGGTGCAGGGGCACAGCCAACTGGTGGCATTGTCAGGCAGGCCGGGCCCAGTCCAGTGCGCTGCTGATTCCCTGCCTCAATGTGCCGCGGATCCCCCTGCCTCCCGCCTGCCCCACCTGGACCTGAAGGTGATCGAGAATGAGGAGCTGCTGGCGGCCCTGGATACCACCAAGAAGCACCTGGACAACAAGGAGTTTGTGGAGGCGGTGCAGAGGCAGAAGAAGGCGCGTGGCGCAGCGCGCTGCTGCTGGAGCGGTGTGGCGGCAGCAGCAACGCCGCTCCTGGCGGGCGCCTGGCATGCTGGCGCAGCCCGCTGCCCATCCTCTCTGCTGCCCATCTCTGGTGTTCCCACGGCCCTGGGCCCTGGGCGTGTGTGTGTGCAGGCTGACATGGAGCTGATGGACATGGCGGAGCGCGACATCCTGCCCGCCATGCAGGAGGTAAGGGGGCGGGTGGGAGCAGGGCTTGTGGATGCCTGCTCTGGGCAGCAGGCGGTGCACCGGGGGTGAGGTGATGGTGCACCTGTGCCAGCCAGCAGCGACATTCCCTGGACCTCAGGTGGTGCTCCATGCTGCTGAGCTGCTGAGCTGCACCCCGGGCGGTGTGCCATCATCCTGGTGGTTGCAGGAGCTGGAGTTGCAGGACCTGGAGGCTGCTGCTGAGCAGGTGGGGCTGGTGCGGCTGAGATGGATGCACTGGCGCAGGCCAGGGGCACAGGTTGGAGGACACTCAGTCCACCGTTCTGTGTGCCTGGCTGCTGCTGCAGATGGAGCAGGTGAAGAACAAGGCGCCGCTGCTGCCGCAGCACAAGCAGTTTGCCTGAGCACGGCGCTGGCATGTGCGCTGACATGACGCTGGATTGGCGCTGCCCATGCGCCGGGGCTGGGGCGCTTGGCAAAGCCGGCAAGGCCCCCATGGCCTGGAGTTTACACAGCCGCAAGGCGAGCGAGATTCATTGTACAGATTGGACGCGGTTGTGATACAGATCAGCAAAGCAGTCGGCTCATGAGCTGCTTCATCCATCCGAGATGCTGTGGATGGATCAAAACAGGGAGACATGACTGGCAGTAGACAGCAGGGGTTCATGCGCCTGCTGGGCCGCTAGAGTGCAACGGTAGCACATGCAAAACTGAAGGCTGGGCACAATTCCGGAAGATGGCGGGCCTCAGGTGCCCGCGTGCTCGTCCTTCTCAATGCTGGATCGCACCACCCCAAAACGCCCTACCTGCACACAAGGGGCCACCATGGCGCAGCCCTCAGCGCCATTCCTGCCACCCTGTAGCTTGTCCGTGTTGTGTTGGGGGAGTGGGGCAGCTGGCATGATCCCCCCACCCCCCCGGCCCACCTGGTTGCAGTTGTCCAGGGCGGGCGTCAGGTCTCGGCAGAAGCGCCAGCCGATACGTGCGGCGCAGGCCGTGCAGTGCACATCCGCCACCCGCATCTCTCCCTGGCACAGCGACTCCTGCCGCTCGTTGCGTTCCACCACCGCCCCGGGGCGGAAACCGTTGATGTACAGGGCACGCTCCGGGCCGCCGCCCGCATCCCAGCAGTGCTGCCGCGACAGGACGTCGCGCTGCTCAAACAGCGCCGCGCCGCACTCCCCGGGCCTCCGCAGGCTGCTGCGCGCGGCGGTGCAGCGGTAGAGCGCGCGGGCGGAGGGCGGGAGGGGGCGCCCCAGCAGCTCCTCCCGCCCGTCTGGCGCGCGCAGGCGCAGGTAGCGGCGCGCCAGGAAGCAGGCGCCCAGCACCTGAAGCTCCCGCCAGTGCCTGCGGGAGGCTCGTGGCCAGGGACCGACAAGGCGGTGGTATCAGGCAGGGCATGCCCCACAGCAGGGCACTGCAGCGAGCTGGCCAGCATGCGAGCCACCCTTCAGCTTGGCTGGGAGGCTGGAGGGCGGTGCCCGCACCGGATGCATGCCGCCGCCGCGCCTGCCCTCAGGCTGCCCAGCTGCACCAGGCGCACGCCCAGGTGCAGGCCACAGCCGCCGCACTGCACATGCTGCACCCGCACTTCGTGGCCGGGGCCGCCAGCCCCGCGGATGCGCAGCTCGGCCTGCAGGAACGGGAAGCGGGGCGGAGGCTCAAGCGCATGGTGCAGGTCCCCGCTATCGGAACGGGGAGTTGGGTGGCGGCCTTCCAACGCCCCTTGTATACACACATGAATGCAGATGCATAACGGAGAGCTGCAGGGCAGATGTCCACCCTCCCCGGCCCAGCATCTTGCCTGCAGGCTGAGCAGGGTGGGGTAGAACCCGCCGCCCAACGGGTGGTCGGCTTCGGTCAGCGTGCACCCCAGCGCCACATGCTCCGCATCAAACGCGTGGCTGTCTCCGTCTGGCAAGCCCAGGTGGGGCGCCTCGCGATAGGTGTCGCTGCTGAAGGCCGCCGCGGCGTCCGGCACGACCGCGTGGTGGCAGGCGGCGCAGCACAGGGCACGGCGGCGGCTGGCGGCGCCGAGCTCCCACAGCTCTTTGCTGGCCAGCGACAGTGCGATTGAGTCGCGCATCTCCGTGAGGGACGCAAAGACCTCCAGCAGCGCGGGCTGGGACAGGGCCAGCAGTGAAAACCCTCCCTCGCAGGAGGCGCTCATTCGGCTCATAGAGCCGTCTTTTTGTTCCGAGGAGTGAAGCGCGCGACCACCGTGCCGAGGGGGCTCAGACAGGCTGGCGGCATTGGGCGCCAGCGCCGAGCGCTGCACAAGTCTCGCGCTCAGGAAGTGTGATTGGTTGCAGAAAGAGCGAGACTCGCACATCATCAAACGACATTTCAGGGCCGCTCCTCTGTGTCTCACGGTGGTCTTCCCACAGTTGCGTCCAGCGCGCACGACGCCCGCCAGCAGGTGACAACAGTGTGGGTGGGGTGGGGTGGGGGGGGGGGGGCATGTAGCATGTCTCATGTCGAGACCAGGCTTTCGTGGACATAAAAAAGGTTCTCTTGATGTGGAAAAATGGTCCAATTTGGGGGAAATGGACCAGAAGGCAGGACACCCTGGGCAGTACACCTGTTGCTTTCCCATTCGAGTCGCACCAACCGAGCCTCCCTCACTTACTAAGGGCAGCTTGTGCATGATCACGGCGGCAGCGGGCGACAGACGGGCAGCATGATCGCCGAAAAGTCGTTGTTCTCGGCCTTTAGGAAGCAGGAGGTACGGAGACGTAGCGCGAGGCGAGCACATGGCAGCATCCACGGCTTGAGCGGGTGGTGAAGGGAAGCCGCGGCAGTCGCTGTGGGCGGCGGCGGTGGCGGCGGGTCGCAGCAGGGCTGGGCTAGGCAAGCTTGTTGCAATGTCCATCAGCCCTGAAATCTGCCAGCTCTTCTCCCCATGCACCCACCGGCAGGATCCAAAAGAGCTGGTCCGCAAATGGCAGCGTCAGATCCGCACAGAGATCCGCGGCGTGGAGCGCCAGATGCTAGGCACGCACTAGCAGGCTCCCCTCCCTAGCGGGCCGGCCCGCTGCTGTCGCATGCGCTACCGCGGCCCAGCTGCCTGCAGCCCCCGCCGCCATCGCCGACCGCCGGCCGTCCGCTGCCACCCCCTTGCCTGCAGAGGTGCAGCGGGAGCAGAAGAAGGCGGAGAAGCTGATCAAGGAGGCAGCCAAGCGCAACGACATGGCGTCGGCGCGGGTGAGCCGGCTGAGGGCAGCGGGGCTGAATCATGGTTGCCGCCGCCTCTCTGCCTGGTTGCGCATGCCTGGTTCCCCTTCATCAAGGCCACCGCAGGCGAGCGGGGTTGCCACCGCCTGCCAGCCCAGTCGGGTTTGCCGCCGCCGCCACCTACCTGCTGCTGCCTGTGTGCCCTGGCTGCCCCCCCAGATCCTGGCCAAGGAGGTGGTCAACATGCGGCGCACCGTCACCAAGCTGGCCGTCAACAAGGCCACCTTCCTGTCGCTGTCCAACCAGATGACGGAGCAGCTGGGTGAGCGGCGGGGGGCTGCCCCGGCGGGAGCACGGCGGCTGAGCTGGCTGCACGAGGGGGCCTCCAAATGCGGTGCTGGTGGCGCCGCAGCAATGCTCCTCCTCCTCCTTCGCCTGGTTGGCCTGCAGCAGGGAGACGTGTCTGCGCCTGCTGCCTGCTGCCCAGCCCTTGGCAGTTTCCCCTGCCCTGACCTGACCTGACCTCCAACCACCACCTCCTTCTGCTCCGGCGCAGCCATGACGCGCGTGGCAGGGGCGCTGACCAACAGCGGGGAGGTGCTGAAGCTGGTGAACAACCTGATGAAGGTGCCGCAGCTGCAGCGCACGATGGTGGAGATGTCGCGAGGTGGGCCCACCGCGCGGGGCCTGGAGGGCCGGGCTGGAGGGCAGGGTGCAGCGCAGGGCGGCCCTGCGTCGGCACGGGGCTGCCAAGCAGGCGCCGGCCTGCTCGTGCCGCGTGGTGCTGGCTTGCTGGCGTGGGTGGTCTGCTCCCGTGCTGCTGTGTGCGTGCGTGTGTGCCTACTGCCTGGTGTGGTGGTGGTGGCGCAGAGATGACCAAGGCGGGGATCATTTCTGAAATGATGGATGATGCCATGGAGTCGGCCATGGACTCAGAGGATCTGGAGGAGGAGACGGAGGAGCAGGTGGGGCGCTGCGTGCGTGTGGGTGTGCATGTGCTGGGCGGGCAGGAGGTGGCTGAAGGCGGCTTGCACGCTGGGATGCGCTTCTGGCGTGGCAGGGCCAGGGTGCGTCATGCAGGGCCGCACCAGTGTGCTGGGCTGGGGGCAGCGTGGTGTGGGCTGCACACTCGATCCACTGCTGCCCCGCCCCCGGCCGCAGGTGGACAAGATTCTGCTGGAGGTGGCGGGCGAGACACTCAGCCAGATGGCGGCGGCGCCCCGGCAGCAGAAACAGGCGAGTCGGGCCGCCCAGCTCGAGTGCGGCGTTCTTGGGATCTGGCACAGCCTCCTGCCGTTTGCCTTCTGCGCTGCCCCTTTTTTTGCAGCCGCACCCCCTTTCCTGCACACTGCCTGGTGATGCGTGGCCTGTGGCGGCATGTGCAGGCTGTGCCGCAGCAAGCGGTGGGGGAGGATGAGGTGGAGGACTTGCAGGCGCGGCTGGCGGCCGTCAGAAGCTGAGCAGCCGCCCCGCCGACTGCACCAGCGTGTCGCGCAGCCCATGCCTGTGCCGCAGCTGCGCCTCTCCCTGCTGCTCGCCTGCGAATCTGCGCCCCCTCCGCCACTGCGCGCCTGTGCCTCCTGCCCCGCCATTTGCTAAAATTGTTTCTGCCTCGCTCTGCCCAGCTGTTCCTGTTCTGGCTGCTTCCTCGTCCCCGCTCAGCATTTGCTCCTCCAGTTTTCTCCCCAGTGTCCATCTGTCAACAACCAAATGTACCAATACACCGCCCCCACCTGCCCCCGGCCGCCCGCCATGACCCGCCCTGTTCTGGAGAAGTGTGGGATAATGAGGCATGTTTCACATGGTTGGCATATCACAGCCAACACAAAGAATTCGGGTACGGGATTAGCAAGATGAGGCTTGGAGGAGGGGGGTGGTTTGAGGCGTGGTGCGGGACAGGCCGATTGAAGAAGAAAGCAATTTGGGAAGCGGCCACTGTGATTGGGATGCGTGCACTGAATTCATAAGAGTTATATGGCAGAAGAGATTCGAAGGGGCTGGCAAGGGTTGAAGGCTGACAGTGCTAATCAAAACCAGGTGACGAGGGGAAAATGTCAGCGGCAGAGGAAGGGCGCCAGCAGCATCGATACATTCTGGGGTGCACAACATATAGGGGGAAGGGGGGGCGGCAACAGTGTCGAGGGGGAGGAGGCATTTATTGGGGTGCGGGCGTCAGCCCGCTGGGGGCCGGAGCGTGGGGGCAGGCCTAGTACACGCACACAGGCTCCGCCCGGGATGCGGGGCTCAGCATGGCCTTCATCTTGTGCAGCCAGGCCATGACGCCGTGAGGGTCGTCGCCGTGCGCCGCCGCGCGTGGCTGCGCTGCCGCCGTCTGCGGCATGGCCAGCACGACGGGCGCTGCGCTGCGCTCTGTGGCGCGTGTGCATGCGCACGCGATCAGGTGGCCCGGGTGCGCTGCTGCTGCTGCGGGGGTGGGCGCGCCGGAGCGCACCGCCGACCCGGGTGGCGACAGGCGGCTGCGCTTTGCGCGCTGCTCCTGCATCGGCGGCGTGCTGAGGCGGGAGGGCAGCGGGAGGGAGGACTCGCAGGTGAAGGCGGTGGGCGCGTGGGCGGCGGGGGAGGCCGTCTGGCTGCAGGCCGCGGGGGGCGGGCAGGGCGCCGCCGCTGCCGCCGCCGCGTGCTTGGGCTTGCGGCAGGCCACATCCACGGACCGCACGTACACGACGTGGTCGGCGGCCTCCACGCCCGTGGCCGCATGGGGCACGCGGATGCCCAGGGCCGGCAGCCCGCGCCGCTGCAGCAGCGTGTTGCTGTGCCCCGCCGACACGGAGGCTTGGCGCCAGGCGTGGGGCCCCGCGGCAGCGGCGGCGTGGATCTGGAGGTGCAGCTGGCGCTCCTTGAACATGTAGTAGACTGCGGGGCAGGACGGGAGGGAGTGTGGGTGAGGGCTGGGCAACAAAAGAGGTTGGAGAGGGAGAGGCACACAGGATGGGGCATATGCGGCAAGCAGGCACACACGGTGCGGGTGCGGCGGCGGCGGCGGGCGGGTGCTTACCGGTGGGGGACTGCAATCCCGCCGGCCACAGTTCTAGACCCCCAGTGTGAGCCTGAAAGGGATCCTGCAGCGGCGGAATCGGGCGGCGGCGTGAGAATGGGTCTCGCAAGCTTGCGCATGGATACGCTGCGCATCCACGCTACCGCCCGCCCCTCCCCCCACAAACAACATACATGAGCTAGATCGTGTTGGTAGAGTTGGTTGCAGCTGATGCAGTGCCGGCAGCCGCGGCGGGTAGTGCTGGAGCGGGGCATGTTGGCAAGCAGAGAGAGGTGGGACGAATGAAGAGAACAGCACCACAACAAGATGTGATGTCGTGTGGAGTGTTGATGGGGTCGATATGATGGATGGCGTCAAGACATCACGAGTGTTAAAGGGCCGCAAACCGCCCGGACGGTTTCTTGCTCCGGCTCCCCCTCCGGCCGCCCCTCTCCCCATCCCGGTTGTCAGCAGATCGCGCTGCAACGTGCATGAATAAACGGGCCATGCTCGCATCTGCATTGAAGAAGCATCCGGCTGCCCCCAGGCGCTCTTGGCAATAATGGCATGCACGTGACAACACACTGCTTGTGCAGCACATGCATCAGCGGGGAGCAGTAGGAAGTGTGTGTGAGGCTTCTCGTGCCCTGCCGGCCTCAGCGGTTGCGCGTTACCTCTTGCCCCTGGCAACGCCGCCGCCGCCAAGTACGGACAGGGCCACCAGAAGCTGCCGCTGCGAGAAACATTTCTCTGCAGGCGCCCTCCCGCCAGTGCACACAGCGTCCTGATGGTGGTGCCGCTGCTTAGCCCTGTACAAGAGCTGGCCCATGCTGCGCCATGATCAAAACCCGGCGAATGTTGCCAACAAATGTCAGTTTCGCAAAACTTCCCAAGCTCCCCAACTGCCGCCTCGAGCCAGCTAGATTGCATGCACGTGCTTGCATGATGTGAAACCTTATCCTAACGCTGCTCTTATCCAGAGGCTGCTTGGCCTTCCATGGGGGCAATTCTGCACGCGGTGCTGGGGGTTGCCGAGGGCGGCCGCCGAGGGCCCCGACAACCGCCCCCGCCAGCCACCGTGAGCGCAAGTGTGAAAACAGCAACTCAAATGCCGAGCCCTTTCTGCGGTGTTCTGAAGGGCATGCCTGACTTCTTGCAACGCCTTTTGCGCTGGGATTGCGATGCACACATGGAGGGCAGCAAGGGGTGGCAGGGAGCGTCGAGGGGATGGAAGGCGGCGGCTCACATGCACAGCTCTCTCCAAACCCCGGCCTGCCCTGGCCCATAAAAATTCCATCCCTCTGGCGTGTGCTAGGAACGCTGGGCGTCCCAAGTTATCCCACAGGGGCGAAGAGGGGCTGGCTGCAAGGAAAGGGCACCTGGGAGGAAGGTTGGCAGGACTCGACGGGCATGTCCGGAAGCCCCAGGCCGTCAAACAAGGCGCTTTGAAGCTGAGAATGTCTTTGAAGGTCAGGGGGCGGCACCTGAGGCTTTCAGGATGATGGCCGCACATGGCGTCATCGCCTGGATTTGCAGGGAAGTGGTGGACCGGAGCAGCCATCCCCAAATCCTCCGGTCGGAGCCAACTCGCGTCACCCACCGCAATTCACGTCAATCACTCTCCCATCCCTCCCTCGTCCTTGCTTACAATGTTATAATGATGCGCCAAGGAACAATTATACTCACAAGCCTGCTGCTCAGCCTCCTGGCGGCGGGCGCGGATGCCTTCTCCTCGCGGAGACACTTGCAGCAGTCACAGACGACTCTGTCGGGTGAGCGGTTGCCTTCGATTCGTGTGACGGCAGGTGCAGCCCGCCCAGGGCGTGGTAGACGTGAGGCCCGGCGGCCATATCAGAACCACCCCCTTCGCAACTCCTGCAGGCACGGCCATCGTGATTTCTCACGATCAAAAGGGCCTGTCCAACAAGCGGTGAGTAAATCAGCCGGCTCAAATCCAGCCTGCGGTTGGGGTGCGGCCGCCCTGTCGGGACCCGCCCACGAGTGCCTCGTTCGCCGCCGCCGCCCCTTCCGCTGCCGCAGGTTGCTCGCGGTGCACACCCCTGCTGGCAGGCGGGTGCACGTGCAGCTTAGGGATGCCAAGCAGCTGGCGGGTATCCACACCGGCATGCACATCGAGGTGTCGGGGCGGTGGCAGCAGGCGGCGGCAGCGGCTGGCGGCATGCAAGCCGCCGCCGCAGGTGCTGGCCCTGCCGCGGGCTCGAGCAGCTTCCAGGCGGCCACCATCCGCCATGCCTCTGGAGCAGCCTTTGCAGCCCCCAAGGTGGCCAACGCTGCCGGCCAGATGATGGCAGCAGCAGCAGCAGCCACGACAACCCCCGCCGTCGCCCTCAGCACCAACCAGCTGATCACTAGTGCCGTCAACACCATCGTCGTCCCAAGTAAGAGCCTTGGCTGGCTGCCTGGTTGTGTGTGCTCTGCACCTGGCAGCCGACAGCGCAGCATCCATGCAGTCTTTGCCTGCCACACTCTGCACCGCGGCCCAGCCCCCCTTCTCATGCCCCCGCCCCGTCCTTGCCCCTCGCGCTGCCTTGCAGTTGCGGGCATGGCTGACAGCACCACCGCCTGCCCCGGCACCGCGCTGCCCAAGTTCAGCGTGGATGATGTGAAGAAGGCCGTGTTTGCAGAGTCCAACCCCAGCAGCCCCACCGTGGGATCCACCTTCAACAAGTGCTCCTACGGCAAGACCAAACTGACCACCGCCAACAGCCGGGTGGCAGACCTGGTGCAGCTGCCCTGCAATGGCATCACGTGAGTGGACTGCTGCCGGCTGCCAGTGGCTGCCTGAGCTGTGTTCTGCTGTTGCAGGCGCTGCCCTGCAGCTGAATGCACCACACGAGAAGGTGGCAGGCGTGCTGACTCCTCCCCTCCCTCCCTGTCCTGCCCTGCCTGCCTGCCTGCAGCAACGATGTGGCCTGGACCTTCAGCAAGTGTGATTTTGACGACTTCAATGGCTATGCCGATGCTGCCGACGAGGTGCTGCGCGCCCGCGGCGTCGACCTCTCCAAGTACAAGTACAGGTGAGGGCAAAGAGCGCCGCTGCCAGCCCTGCCGCCAGCAGCGCGGCACACACCCTGCCCTGTTCCACTGCTCCCTCTCCCCGCTGCTGTGCCTGATTGGTTGCTGCCCGCTTCTCCCTCTTGCTGCAGGGTGTACCTGGTCCCTCCCGGCGCCTGCCCCTTCGTGGGCCTGGGCTATATTGGCTGCGACGGCAGCTACGACTGCCGCGCCTGGATCTCTGGCGATTTCTGGGCCACGCCACAAGCAATCGCTCATGAGCTTGGCCACAACCTGTTCATGGGCCATGCTGGCTCCTTCAACAGCGCAGGCGTGTTTGACGAATATGCCGACAGCAGCGGCCTCATGGGCTACTGCTGCACGGAGCGCTGCCCCAACACGCCGCATGCCTGGCAGATGGGCTGGATCAGCGTGCAGCAGCTTGACGGCAGCAGCCTCAAGGCGGGCCAGACAGTGACCGCCACGCTGTCCAGCCAGGCCGTCTCAGCACGCAGCGGGATGCGCATCCAGCCCAGCTGGACCGCAGGCGTGGACCCCATTTTCCTGGGCTACCGCACCAAGGCGCTTGGGGATGCAGAGCTGCCAGCTGAGGCTGCCGGCAAGGTGCACCTGCACACCTCGGCCATCAGCAACTCTTATGATGCACAGGTCACCATCTGGAAGGCGGCGCTGGGCAGCGCTGGCCAGGCCTGGGAGCACTCTGCAGCCGGCCTGGTCGTGCGCCTCAAGGCGCTGACGAGCAGCAGCGCCACGGTGACTGTGTGCCGCAAGGGTGGCGCCGAGTCCGTTGCCACCTGCGCAGCAGGCGTGGACAACGACTGCAACGGGCTTGCGGGGGCGCGCGACCCTGCTTGCGCCAGGCTCTCCAAGCGTGTGCGCAGGAGCTCAAGAGTCCTTTAGCCGCTGTCTTGTACAGCACTGCTAGTTTGTCTTGTACCCCACCTTGGTACTCCACCTTGGACTACTCCCTCCTCTACTTTGTCCCACCTTCCATCCATGACAGTTTTCCAGCCCATTTTGTGTTTGACCTGGCTGCGCCTCAAATATTCAGCAATGAACCTCCCCCTCATAACCTCACAGATGCCCGTCTACCTCTGGCCCCATGTTGCCCTCGAATTCTTTACCAAATCCCTTGCCCATCTCCAAACCCTTCCCATCACCCAACCCCTTGCCATATTCAGTTCTTTTGCAGTCAGCCTGCGGTAAACCTGCAAACCATGTAAGCCATCGTACGACAAGGTACATAGGGATCCCATGTGTCCATGAAAGCTGAGGCGGCTGATGGCAGGCAGCCTCCATCAACCTTTCCCTACATAGTGGAGTGGGCATTTTTCCAGGGATGGGGGCCGCCAGTGTACCAACTGCTGCGACCGCGGTGCTGTCCTGGCCGGCTCAGCAAAACGGATGGTGCCATGTGTTACAAATGAATATAGAAAGAAGTTGAAGGGGATATGGAGAGCAGATTGTTGTTCCATGGGGGCATGTTTCCGTATTGGCACATGCCAAGATGAGGGGTGAATTTTCGGCAAGCCATGCGGTTGGTGTCCACTGTGCCAGCAAGTAGGCACAAGGACAAACAAGATGTGGAAGGGATTGAGTGATCAATGTAGAAAATGATACCAAGTTTTGTTAGCAGAAGGGAAATGGTGGAGAAGCTGTAAAAAGCAGAAAAACTGTCAGGGAGTTGCTTGTGTGGGCTTAAAGTCTGGTAAAGCAAGAACTAGCCTGCAACATAGACTCCCCGCCGAAACGGGACGGGAACCGGGCGAAAGCAGAGAAAGCAATAAAACAGGGGTGGAGCAAGGCGACATGCAACGCAAGCAGCTGACAGGGCACGCATCGAAACGTGTGTATGACTGGCAAAGTGGCATGGCGCATTGGGGAGAAACGCAACGGTACGGGAGCATGGGCTGGCCAAACGGCAGTGCGGAACGCTAGGTCACTAGAAAAGCAGGGAAAGGCGCACTATGTATGCAATGAGGGCAGCCCCGGCTCGGGGCCGTTGCGAGTACTTGCAAGACCGGTCAGACGGGTGCAGGAAAAAGGCCAACCCACAGCTACGTTGCGCTCAGAGTTTTATCAGTTGCGTTTTGCTCTGGAAGTCTTCAGCAGTGCCGTAACCCTGTGTTACAGTCACCCCGCTATGATAGGCCGCGTGAGCAGACCTTGGGCAGGGGGCACACGTGATCAAGGGGCATCAAGAGAGGGGGTGGACCATGGAGCACCCTCTCCATGGCTCCGACCACCCTCCCCCCAGCTGAGCGTCCCAGGGTCACCCCACCCTGGCCCCGCTCCCCGTCCTGCCGGACACGCAACCCCCACAACGTGGTGGGGGACGTGGGGATCCTTAGCAGCTTAGGCCTGCCAGGCCGACGGGTGCCGATGCTGGTGCGGGCTCCCGGCGGCAGGCAGCGCCGCCGCCGGGCACTCAAATGGCATGGGGCACATGGGCCCCCATGCCCGCACATCTCCCAGGCACATGAAAATACCAGAAGGCTGCACATGTAAGGGTGCATGCATTGCAGGCAGGAGTGCAAAGTGGCCTGCCGCGGCGGTCGGCTGTGCCATTACTCAGTCAGCCGCCGCTACCGTGCCGGGCTTGGCGTTCCCATGCCAACATGCCGGCGTGCCATCGCGCAAGGGGCCAGTGAGTGTGTGAGGCGGAGGTGGGGGTGGTGGGGCTGCCGCTGACCGTTGCTTGCTGACGCTGACGCTGCTCTTACCTGCGGGGGGAGGGGGTGGGTCGGGAGCCAAGGCCGGGCAAAAGATGCCTGGGCCCTACTCAAGGGAACCGAGGGAGTCACTGTGCCAGGGCAGCAGCATGCTCCTCATG